TATATAAAAATATATATAAAAATACAAAAAAAGGTTATTTACAGTGAACTTGACTGAACTAGATGCTCAGAAAATGTATGAGTGAGTAAATGTATAGCAACTGGGTAATGTGCCACTTTGTGTTATCTTCTCTTTGTTGTAGACATCAATTGCTTGGTATGTCTCTCTTTGCGGAGCACCTGTACTATTCAGAGTTGAAATCTGGTATGATTTGGAGAGCCAACAAGTATACTGGCAAAGTCTTAGTCACAATTAGCCTGAAGCCATCATTTTTTCCACCAGTGGAGATAAAAGTGGTGCATCCATTCAAACAGCCAGGTGCAAGAACAGATTCTCAGGATTTCGGTAAGTAAACTGCAATGATACAGTTGATGTGTGAGAACAATCGTATTGAATCACAGAATGGTTTGGGTTGGAAGGGACCTCAAAGATCATCTAGTTCCAACCCCCCTGCCATGGGCAGGGACACCCTCCACTAGACCACGTTGCCCAAAACCCCATCCAACCTGGCCCTGAACACTTCCAGGGATGGGGCATCCACAGCTTCTCTGAGCAACCTGTTCCAGTGCCTCACCACCCTCACAGTAAAGAATTTCTTCTTTATATCTAATCTAAATCTACCCCTCTTCAGCTTAAGGCCATTACCCCTTGTCCTATTACTCCATGCCCTTGTAACCACTCCCTCTCCAGCTTTTCTGTAGGCCCCTTTTAGGCACTTGAAGGCTGCTATAAGGTCTCCCTGGAGCCTTCTCTTCTCCAGGCTGAACAACCCCAACTCTCTCAGCCTGCCTTCATAGGAGAGGTGCTCCAGCCCTCTGATCAGCTTCGTGGCTCTCCTCTGGACCTGCTCCAACAGGTCCATGCCGTTCTTATATTGGAGACCCCAGAGCTGAATGCAGTACTCCAGATGGGGGTCTCATGAGAGCGGAGTAGAGGGGTAGAATCCCCTCCCTCAACCTGCTGGTCACACTTCTTTTGAGGCAGCCCATAATGTCATACAATCTGATTTTTCCCAGTAATAATTTTGTTCGGCAAAATTCCTGGCCTCAGTGAAGTCAAGGAAGAAGTTTCCTTTCACTTCAGTGATCCACAGTTCCACTTAGTGTGTATAACTCCAGCTGGACTATCAGGCTGGGAGTGTGCTGAGCATGAACTGCTCATTTCATTAATCTGAATACACATGCAGATAAATGTGGTTTTCTCCTTCTCTTCCCATTACTTACACAAAGATGGTTTTATATTTTCCTGCTAAATGCACAAAGCATACAGCTTTTTAATCCGCCATGCAGATTATCTTCATCAAATGTCTGTTCCCTTCTTATTCTAATGTACATGTAAACACCTCTGATTATTATGGCACTGAAGGATTTTAAGTGCATAGTGATACTACAAGTATCACTACAAGTGATACTGTGGATGTCTCAACTTTTGCTGTGAAATGACTGGATTAAAAGTCAGCCTGTTTCAGACAGACTTGAAGTTGCCATAACAACTATGAAATAAAAGCCTTGGGTCTCTTTGATGTCAGTTGCAGCCTACAGTATGAGGTGGTCATGTCACTGTCTTTCACCGTGGATCAGAAAATGAAGGTAGTTGACTACGGATAGCTCATCCTCCTTGAGGATTCCTGCTGAGGCAGTAGGAAGTGGATGGTGTCCAGGGGAAATAAGGTCTTGTTCTCTGATCTCTGGAAAGCAGACATAAAGTATCCTTGCTTTAATGGAATAGTTTTTGTTATCGGTTTTGCTTGGATATGAACAACTATGCAAACAGCAGAGAGGCATTTGTGTGTTGAGCAATGGTTGCAGAACTCCCAAGGGAAGATGGTGATGGGTTCCCAGAGGTATAGGTGGTATAAAGTCAGGAGGAGAAAGTAATGTTTGTTCGTATGAGCAAAAATGAAACTGCAAATATCTCTCTTGAACCATTTCTAAATATCTACTATAAAATAGGCTTTGTCTTTCTTCATGCCAACCAACAACATTACATGGTACTGTTCTGTCTCTCCTTCCTGAAGCCTGGTCTGAGTGGGAAAATCAAATTTTCAAGGGAACTTTCCCCTTCAAATGCTTTGTTTGCAGTGCAGAGAGCTGTTGAGATGCAGAAGAGCTGTTGAGATGGAAATCAAACTTGTACTTAATACAGGGACCTTCCATTCAGAGACAATACTTGTTCTGTGCTGCCTTCGAGGAAAACATTCATCTTGGCAAATGGAAGCTCTTTTTTCAACTGACACGTTTGGTGCTCTCGCACAGAGTAACTAGGGAAGGAAACGTTTGTGGTGCAAACAGTGACATGTCCACACATCTCAGGATTGTTACAATGAGATTTGGAAAGTCTCGTGAGGCCTCTTTGGGTGTCTGTCACCATGTCTACATATGCTTGAATACAGAGAGGAAGAAACAATGACCAAGAAAGGTAGTTCATGACAGTGGTCTCTTGAACCAGGGGGCTATTGGTTGTGTTACATATGTCCTCTGCACAAGAGTGTGTAGCATAATTTCATTGACTGTTGGCACTTAGCTTTTATTCTCTTGGACGATTAACTCCACTCCTTCCACCAGAACATGCTGCTTTCTGGTGTTTCCCTTTTGACTGGAAAGAGAGTTTCCCTACCTTTATTAATAAATAAACTACCAGTGTTTTTAAATGTCTTACAGTATATACCCTTGTATTTCTAACGCTTTTAGTAAATTTTTGTATGGTAGTAATTGTTGTCAGCAGTAGACTTTTTTTTACTCCAAATACCTTTTTGTAAAAATGTCTAGGAAGTGATGGAGTAGAAAGAAGCTTAACAGGTTGAATCCAGATGAACCTTTTGGACTTTGTATGTACGTTGCTTGGCTTATCCAGTGCAAGAACTGGGATGAAAGGAGGACTAATGAGCCTGGACTGCAAATAAGATTTATAGCTGATCTTAAAACAGAGAATCCTGGACATAAAAGCATACCTAGACTAATTAGATGCTCTGTACAAGCTAAGAAAGTGTATCTTGCAATGTAGTGTCAGCTGTGAATTATCAGACCTTTAAAGGAGATAGCAAGTGAGTTCCTTCAGAAAAAAGGGAACTGGCAACAAGTGCTCAACTGACATGATTTGATTTTTAATTTTTTTTTTAAACTGGAATTTGGATTATTTACTTCTTAAATTCCTCATGTCCCCTCTTCCCTTTCTCTTTCAAAAGACTTTCCTGGATTGGTCAGGGCTGATAAGTACAGAGAAGAGCACTAATTCAGCTACGGGTTTGCCATAACCCCACACAACAACTGTACTATGGCAGTGTCTGAAAGATATCCTCTAATTTACCTCAACTCTCTTTGACAGCTAACCTTAGATTTGATGATAGTATATATATTTATAAATGCCATAAATTTTTATTAATGGTTTATAAAATATTTTAATTACCTTAAAATTTCAAAGACTGCCTCTGGAATTTTTTTCAAGCATCTTCTCTGACAGATTAATGATATTCAGTACAATCAGGATTTTTTTTTTTTTTTTTGAGGAATAATGTTGTGTTTCTTTCCAGTCTAAGATACCAGCATCAGGCTATTATTTGAGAACGCCCATTTCCATATAAGAGAGGTGATGGGAGGAGAAAAAACCCACAAAAAACAAACAAGCTAGAAAGTATGGTTCATAATGGTTGTCCTTCCAGAAAAGATTACCTTAAAAACTTTGCGATTCATAATTTAGTCACTGTTCACTTTACGTTTTGAAATGTGGTTATTTTTTTATATGTTGATTTGGCAATATCAAGTTCTAACAATTATTCAGTTAAAAAAGAATATCTTCTTGAGATTGCCCAGATAGCAAAATTATTGCTTCTGTTATTTCTCCTGTAAGTCCTGGGTGTCTTAGGTCTCATTAGACCAATAATGGTACAAGCAAGGGGCAAAAAACCAGCACCAGTGATAAGCATAAGGTGCAGCCTTCAATGCGGTCTTGTTTCTGTTTTGTATGGTTTTGTGATTGCGTGTACTTGCACTTTTGTCATTCTAATGAATTCTGTATTTGAAGATTAGACACTCTGCTACTGCATGTTCCTGATTCAGTTGCAGTAGGGACAAAGATTAAGGGTCCAATTCGAAACTAGTTGTACGAAAAGAGAGGCTCAGCTAAAAATACGTAAAATTCAAGTCTCTCAAAAACTAGCATTCTTAATAACATAGATAATATCCATCTAGTCATCCATTCATCATTTTTCATTTAGTGATACAACTTTTGTTAGAGAAGAATTAAACAGGTTGATGCAAATAATTGCAATGTTGAGGGTTTCAGCCAAGCTGAAGTGTCAGTTTGGGAAATTATTTCAGTCTTTTATAGACTTGATCTGTCATTCCACCAAATGGCCAGCATTTTCTCTGTGGTGGCTAGCAGAAGACTAAATGTCGAGCTTAAATATTGTGCTGCTTTCCATCTATTGGAATTTGGAGGGTGAATTGGAAATAGCACAAGAAAATTGTTCACATACAAATTTCTTTGCCTGTGTGAGCTCATGATCTCTTATATGTTGCACAGATAGCCCAGGGCAAAGCCAATGTTGTGTGTGGGTGGCTGCACACCCACATTCAGCACCAGCAGTTCAGCTATTCTTAGCTTGGGAAAGGGGCAAGTAACCCCAGAAGAAGATTAGGAAGATTAAAACAAAAATAATAGTTTGGGAGACAAAAATAAAACCATGAGTGTTGCATATCTGTGAAAGCACCAGCTCTAAAAGATAGCTGAGCACAGACACGAGGCTCTGCAAGTCCTACCACCCCCTACTTCTAGATCTACTTGTGCTGACATGGGAGCTAGAAATGATCGTTTGCACAGACCTACTCTTAGTCCTCCAAGTACTTTCATTTTTACAGTGGCTTTTTGGCCGAATTTTACCAATAGAAAATAATAGAAGTTATTTTCTATTCATAAGTTGTTCCTTGGATCGAGCAAGTAGCTATTGAGAAAACACATCACTGAGCATCTTTGCTCAAAATAGTTTCTCCTTGAAGGTTAATATGGTAAGAACTCTATTACATTTACACTATATTTGTTCTTCCAGAAAAAGGAACTTGTGATTTGAACAAAGAAAAGTGCAGAAGAAGAATCTGCAGGCCAGACTCAAGGACTCATCGGTGTAAATGTTCTAGTGGCTTTATTTTAAGTCGAAATAAACAGTTTTGTGAAGGTAATACATGAATCTCCTGTAAGATTTATTCCAGTCAGATGAAAAAATTCTTCTATTCTTTTACTTTACTCATATCTTGAGTATGAAAAAACACTCTGAGGTCTTAAAACTTCCAGGTGTATCATTTCAGTTTCATGCTCTTCCAGGTTCTGAAATAGTCTAAAAGGAGATGTATGAACATGTCATAAGTGCTCTTCTTGTGAGAAAGTTTGGTCTTAGCCTAAGTAGTTAAAGGAGCTTCAGATAAGTAGACATGCTTATGGGTACTTATTTAACTTTTAAATAAAAATTAGAACATATATATTGCTAAAGGTGAAACACTGAAAAATCCTGCAACAAGATGGCTGTCTTAAGTCCCACTTTCAAAGAAGACACAAGTTCTTAACATGCATCTAAATGTTTTAATCTGGATTGTTTTAATAAAAAAATCTAACATTACTATTAATAATAGTTAACATATCACTTTTAGAAGCATCTTTTTCACTACACGACCAGATTTGAAAAGAGATAATTGCATCAAAGTTCCTAGCTTACAGGATTTACAGACCTACCTGAGCAGCAGCCATCCAGTTATCAGGAAATTCATCAGAATTGCTTTCTGAATTTCAACTTCTAAACCACTTCTGTTTTTTGAGAATTTTACTTAAGTCAAGTTGGAGCCAAATTTTTTAAAAGAATTTTTGTCTGAAGAAAGTGTCTAATGTAAATTTTTTGCGTGCACAGAGGATTTAATTGGCACTGGAACGTGTATGGGAAGGCATAGTTTTGAAAGTCCTCTAGGCACCTATGACGGACACATGCAACCTGTGTAGGTTTTGCTAGAGGGTTTTTAAAGCTTATTTGATTAATGTCTGCAAATTTGCTTTTTAATCACTTATTAGGACCAACACATTTTTGTAAACTTAATGGGAAAAAGAGATATTTCTTGAAGACTCTTAGGTGTTTCATTAATCTAGTTACGAGGCACTGGTTGATGATGTCATTCTGACACAGCGAGTGTTTCTTTTGGCAGATATCAATGAATGTGGCTTCTGGAATCACGGCTGTACTTTGGGCTGTGTGAACATCCCTGGTTCCTATTACTGTACCTGCCCGAGAGGTTTTGTTCTGCTGCCTGATAGGAAAACGTGTCATGGTAAGTAGCGATAATACATTAACACCTCCAGTATGATATCAGAGGGAGTCCTCATGTAACACTGCAACCGCCGAAAGTTTTGTGTGTTGCGTTGCTTGCTTCCAATCCCTTATTATGTAAGTAGGATTAGCTTAAACTGAGTGAACCAAATTTGGATGTCATGTTTAAGGAAGTGTAAGTTACACGTGAGTAATCAAGTGTGAGCCTCTTCAGGAGCGGGGAAAAAAAAAAAAAAAAGACAGGTCTCCAGAGAGACCTCTTAGCTCAGATTAGGTTCTGTGGCACATTCCAGGTGGGTAAGCAGTTACGTCTTTTTAAATGCTGTCTCTGAATTTGGCTCATTCTATCTAACCTGCGTAACGATTTGCACAGTCTCTGAATGAGCAGCTTACAGCATCATCTTTTTTCTCTTCAGATCAGGGTTGATAGCATTGCTTATGTGCATGAAATTAATGATATTAAATGTATGTGCATCTGTTGACAATGAATAAGACACATGGAAGTACTCATAAAGTTGTTTGTTCTGGGGGACTGCTGCACCAAAAACCATTTGGTGGTTTTTTTTTCCTTTCATTGATGAAATTGTGTATAAGAGGTATGCCTGAGAGAACTTATCCATATAATATAGGTATGTAAATGAGGAAGCTCTCTGAAGCTGGATAAATGTGAATAAACTAAATGCAGAGAACAGAGAAGTGGAGGGGAAAAAAACAAAGCTCTGTCTGTCAGTAAGCTTCAAGGACCATATTTTAGTCACAGTAAGAGTCAGAGGGAAAGTTTTTGTTCTTCCTTTATGTAGCATTGTGTATATTCAACCTACAAATGAATTAAACCTTTCTAAAGTAAGTCTAGAACATAAAATGTGAAACACATTCAAGTTTTGAGGTCTTGGGATATTCCCAGTCACTCTTCTATTTCATAATGAAGTGGAACGTAGGCATAAGCAAAGGGTCCTTCTACCTTGGTTCCATGGTAATAAAACCTCGGTATATGCCCCCAGTAGAAGTGCCAGTGCGGACCAATGAATTCAGTCTGGATCATGGCAGAATCAGGACCTAAGGTATATTAAATATTGCTACTAGAGAGTAACAGAGTCTAACAAACTCCAGCAGTCAATCTATTTTAGACCTCCAAGAGTCACTTCTCCCTCTCTATTAAGAGGGAGCCAGGAGTAGGATTCAGTGACTCAAACGTGGGGTCCAGGGTGCGTGACAGCTACAGAAGGCAGCCAGATGTGACAGAAGACCTGCAGCCAGAGGCTGTTGGGATGCAGGATATCCTTTTCTATGCAAAACAACACTTAGACGCTGTGCAACTCAGTCCTACTCTGGATGACTAGCTTGAACTATATGCCTACATTTTAGGTGGCTCAAATTAGATAGAAAGTAATGTTTTTCTAACACGGGCTAGGGATGCAGCATGGACAGTATAACTCCTTAACTACTGCAGCACAAGGCAGATATGTCACCATCTATGCAACTTGAGAGAGATGCAAGGTGAGAAGTCCACATGCTGACCAGACATTTTGATGCTTTCTCCTCCAAGTCCTGTGCAAAGCTCTTCATCTGAAGCCACAAGCTCTAGTCAGAAAGAAACAAGATCAGTTTCTTGACCCCCTTCACTGTGCTTAAGGAGTTAGAACAATACAGTCTGAAGCACAGTTGCCCTGGTGAGCAAAATTTGCAACAGCTATGCATCATTTAATATGCAGCTGTGGGAAACCTGCATTAGTTCCAGTCTCCCAGCAGGTGTTGCCATATGGCACTAGTATTGGCATAAAGAGATGCAGCCCTGCAATACAGAGGGTGGAAGGAGGATACCTTGTGAAATTGCATTAAAGAAATACTCAAAAAAATGTTGGCAGTCCAACAATGATAATGGAAAGTACAGGAAAGCTATTGCCAGGTCCTCAGATGGTTTTGCCCCTACAACTTCAAAAATTACCGCTGAGGAACATAGTTGTATTTCTGGAAGGTTCATCTGCTGTTTTCATTGGTTCTAGTTCTGTTACCCTTGGAGTAATAGGATAGTAGTTTTTCCTCATTCACTTTGTGTTTTATACTTATTCTTTCAGCATAACTTCTTTGTCATTTTCAAAACCTGATCTATGTAAAAAAGAAAGCTTTCTCAATTATTTCTATTTCGGTAATACTTCTTCACGCAATTGTGGAAAATTTAAAGCTGATCAGTATAATGGCTTTAGGACCCAGCAATGTTGGCTTTCTCCTTTGCTATAGTTAGGAGAAGGTGGGTAAAAATTTTGGAAAAAACCAAACCAAACAAAAACAAACCCCAAAAGACCACAGAAGTGGTGTACTCTCAACATCATAATTTCATTTTTTCCTTCCCTTCCTTCCCTTCCTCCCTCTATTTAAGAAAGTGTTAACATATCTTTTGGGGGCATTAGTAAAAAATTTTATCATAATTTAAGATTTTTTTTCCTCTTTAAATTACTGTAGAGCTAATTTCCTGCACAAGTAACGACACTGAATGTAGCCATGGTTGCCTTCAAACATCTAAGGGGCCTGTTTGCTTTTGTCCTGAAGGATCTGTACTCAAAGTGGATGGCAAAGCATGCACAGGTAAGTAACATTTTTCTACCTGTAGTGACTGCCAAACTCTGTTTGTTCTTGGCACTGAGAGCCAGAAGTGAATGATGGCATTTTACACTTATTTTGTACAGCTGTAAATGATTGTACAAGGTAGGAGGCAATGGAATGTCAGGCTCTTTGAGCACTGAGATGAGCAATATTCATCTTCTTTTTTTGATATATGTGTCTTAGCAGCAACATCCAAGGATTGCAGGTGAAATTCTTTTGTTGTCAGCACAGATCAATGCACCTTCCAGATGTTATTTGCAGAAGACATCTAAAATTTATATTTGAGGGGAAATATAGGTACAAAACTAGGGCTTGAAATCTCAAGATGCCTTTATTGACATCGTGCAAGCCAGTTTCAGAGTCACTCTAACTTACAGCAATTTTATCTAATTACCCACAGATGGAATTTTTGCAGAGTATTTGAAGATGCTACACCCGCTAATTTGTCATTCCTGATTCCAGCAAGCTTTCCAAATTCAGGGGACTGTAGCTTTTTAACTGTATGTTTGCAGTCTTAGAGGTCAAGAGAGCTCCATTAATGCCAGCCTTGCACCTTGAAAAATCCCCTTCCCCTTTTTCCCTTACGTACTGTGGACTGTACTGTATCCATGGATTCAGTAGCATTGCTGTTTTGCTAGGGACACTCCACGGAGTAAACTCAGATTGGCATTGTGGGTATAATCATTGTACAGCCCCAAGAAGAAAGAATACTTTCTTTTTATATGAAATCTTCATTTGTTGTATTAGAAAGTCAGTGTATTTCATCAATTCGCCATCCTAGCCTAATTAACTTCTGGGCAGAGAATAGCATTAATTTGCTGTTTCTTCGCACGTAGTGCAAAGTCTGATAAAATTTGTTACTCTGTTGTAGATGGGATGAGGTTTGCATGGGAGAAAGAGTTCTCTGAAATAATGAACACATGGAAGCCCCCTTCATATATCCCACTCCCTCAACCCCCCTATCTTGTGTTGTGAATTTTCAGGAAAAACTCTGGAAGAAGTTACTACTAATTTGATTTCATTTCACTAGACTTTTGCTTTTAGCAGAAGGCCTTTCAGTAAATCTGTCCGTCACTGAGATGCTTTGCAGTGTAGAAATCCTAGGCAGAGTGAATCCTGCTCTTGCTTATACTTCTGATTTTGTTGTATTATTTTCTTAGAATGTCAAAATTAATTTCTTCAAATGCTCTGTTTAAGGTTGTACATCTCCAGATAATGGAGGCTGTAGTCAGATATGCTCTTCTTTAAGCCCATCCTCCTGGAAGTGTGCTTGTTTTCCTGGATATAAGCTTCAGCGAGACAGAAAGCACTGCACTGCTATAGGTTGGTATCTTGGTATGCCTGCATATTTCTGCCAATAACAGCAAAACCATTTTAGAGTCCTTTAAAGTGGATTGCATGACTGGATCCATCTTTGTACTGGTTCTGGGTTACGTTGTGAAACTTGGGAAGTATTAGTTGTTTGGAAAAGTAACCTATTACGGAAATATACCAGAACAAGCACCAGTATATGGTTCCGTCTCCTTCAGAGAAGATTCAGTCTATTATCCAATTTCTGCATTTCACTCTGGGCTCCTGTACTGTGGAGGTCTATCTGCATTATTCAGGCTTTTGTGCCTTCATGTAAATGTGGGTGTAGTTTCTGCCCAGTGTTACAGAATTGGGGGGTGAGGTGTCTACATTTGGAGAACAGTCTGTTGAAGGACTTTACCTCCACTGGCCACAGGAAACCCAGGTATGTGATGTGATGTTTGGATTCCAGACCCTTCTGTTTCTTCTGAGCAAAGGGCAGACCCTGGTGAGCAGCAAGGTATAAGCAATTGCATGAGAGACAGGAGGAAAGAGAAGTTTGTGATTTGTTTCAGGAATAAGGGAAAAGCTTTAATTTTTTTTGGAGGACAGCATTTTTCTTGCTTTTACCGTGAAAGGATTCTCACGTGCAAAAGTCAAGTCTTCTGGCATTTATGGTGATGCTGTGAAATGCAGAGGGAAGATTGTCTTGAGGCTAAGTCACTCAGCGTGAAGTGCAGCGGGGCTAGAGACTGCCTTTATCACAAATTTTGAGGCTGTTCTTGGTCAAAGTACTGATGCTGAAAACCTGTATTCACGTTTATCTTTGGTTTCTGAGGCAAGTGGAATGTAGGACAAGGGCCTTCATTTCTTTGTGCTTGTGTTTCTCATTTTGTCTTCTGCGGTTACTTACTTACAGTAAGTGCTGGGTAGTGATACAGGCTAGAGATCACTTTGAACCCAGTGGGATTAACAGATCTGCAAATTCTCATCAACAGGTCCTAAGCCATTTTTGTTATTTGCAAATGGCCAAGATATCCGCCAGATCAGTTTTGATGGAACAGATTATGCAAGTTTACTTGACTGGCAGATGGGAATAGTCTTAGCACTGGACTCTGACCCAGTGGAAAATAAGGTAAGGCATTAAAAATGAGAGGATTTTGAAGTGTTGCAAGGACAAATGGATTGTGCTTTCATGTGCCTTAACCTTTCTGCTGTCAGTGATCCAGATTACACATTGTGCTGCTCGTTGTGCTGTTGCCTGTCCAGGAGCACAACGGGTACAGGATGCCAAACATTAGTTGAAGAGTTTCATCCTTTACTTACCAGTTTAATGGGCTTTGTACATTGACATGGCTAATTCACAGAGAATTTGGATTTCTAAATTCACTTCAGGCATGATTTCAATTTCAAATAACTTTTGTGTGATTGATAGTTTTCTCCTTTAAGGTTTCAGTACTCTTTTCTGGAAATAAATTGTAGTTTGTTGATTTTGTATCAAACAACAGTATCTTTTTTCTGTACACCTATGTCCCACAATCCCTACTAAATGTAGGAGTAATCTTAACAAGAATGACTTATGTCCTGATGTTATTGAACAAAACTGCTGAACACTCACTGGGTTTATTGTTCTTATGAAATATATTCCTCATATTACAAGATATTGCTGTTGGAAACGGGAGTTTTCTCTGCAATAAAGAGCTGTATGTATGTGTGGCCGGATCCCAGTGCCCTACTCCTTGCCTGCAGAGGTGGGAAGAAGTTCAGCTGCGCTTTGCTAAACCTTCTGTGGCAGACAGTTTGGTTTTTTTCCCATGGTGAGACTTACACTGTAAAAGCGTTACAAAAGATACTGGATGGTACAGTGAAAGCTGATGAGGAGCTCAGTTAAGTTGCTGGAAACATCTCAAGGCCTGGACGGACACAACTAAACAAACGAGAACGTTGCCAGATCTGCGTTACAGGAGAATTGTTTCAGGCGCTGCTGGAACATCGCCACTTGCTCCTGAAATAGGGCCCTGCTGGGCAACTAGCAGTTGTTCTGTGCTGTGCCGGATATAAATCAGCCGCACCGGTGACGCTGGGTGCGCGCTCTTGTTCCGCTCCATAGGGAGCTCTGGGGTCGGCGGCGCGGAGGCGATGCGCCGTGGGCCGGCCGGGTTGCAGTAGTCTGGTGCTGGTGGCACAGAACAGAGTAAGTGCAAGGTAAATTAGCTCTGCATCGCTCTGTGCTCCCATGATAATTGCGTTTTAGCTGGTTTAATGCTAGAGGCCTCCCTCCCGCTTTGTTTGGCTTCATGGTTAGCATCAAAACAAAAAGTTATTTGTTTTGTTGTTACCATTTGCAAAGAAAGCCTCAGCAGTGCTTTGTACATGGTTCTGCCACACAGTGTTTGGCTCCCTCTGGGTATCAAATACAAGACAAAATTTTTTTCCTCATCCTTGGAAAACACAAACCTAGTTTCCCCACCAGCAGAGAACCTCTTCTGGAAATTTTAGAGCCTTGGGGGGGGGGGGGGGGGGGGGAAAAAAAAAAAGATGAAATTATATAACTCCTTTTCCCTTCCCAGCTCCTTGACACTCATGTGCTACCAACCTCTTCTTCCCACTCCCCGCTTTTAAAAATGAGCAGCCAGTGAAATAATAACATGCTGCTTTTTGCCCACTCCTACTTTTGCTTCCTCAGCTGTCCTTCACGTGAGGTAGCTGAAACAAACCCACAGGATATTCAGAGGGCTGTATATAGGGCAACCAGGATTTACAGCTAAGCACAAGCTGCCTGTAGAAGTCATCCTGGTTGAAAGATAAGTGCCTTTTTATTTGATCAGGGATCACAGGTTACCTGTGCAGCTTCTTGTGAATAAGCAGTTCAGGGAACTTTCAAGATGAAAAAGTTATTTTAGAAATGGAACTATTAGATAAGGGAAATGGAGCAGAAAGTGAGACGGGAACTAATAACACCTCATTTATTATTTCTTCACAGATTTACTTTGCCCACACCGCCTTGAAATGGATAGAACGAGCTAATCTGGATGGCTCAAATCGGGAAAAAGTTATTCATGAAGCTATAGATATACCCGAAGGCCTCGCTGTGGACTGGATTAACCGTAAATTGTATTGGACAGACAGAGGGTACATGCTCCACAGTGCATTTATGTTGAAGCATGCCATAAAATATTTGGAATAAATGACTGGTGATACAGAAATAGCTGAGATATCACTCTAAATTCAGTAACGCTTCACATTCTGATTGGGTAGCTGTAATCTCAAGTATATACAGTTGGAAGGTTCTTTAAAACTGAAATGCTGGAAGTTCATTTTGAGTCTGCTATTGTATTTTTATCTTTGTCTTTCCAAGAAGCAAGGGTTTGGACACAGTTGCAAGGAATCTAAAGCATGTGCTGCATGTATACATATATGTATGTCCACATGCACATGTGAATATATATATGTATACACTCATATTTATATACACACACTGCATGTGTGTATATATCTTTACGTAGATATAAATAACGAGTATTACTGCACTGAGTACATCTTGGACAGAAGTCAGCATTGTTGACAGCTAGAATCATGCCCCTTTAAGCTAACGTCAGGCTTTGTCAATTATCTCTGAGAAAAGAGGAATGGCCACTGGCAGACATTATGGCTTCGCATTTCAGCTGATACCCAATCTTAAATGCAGAGAGAAACAAAATCCACCTTTGGTGAAAAGCCAGTGTCAGATCAGGACACATAATGAAGACTCCTTGAAGAGCGGATGACCCATGTTTTATTAGTCAATAAAAAGTGGTTTTGAACGTCCAGATCACCCTCCTTCGCCCTTTTAAATATGCTGCTAGTCCACTTCCTTGCTATGAAGTACAATCTTGTCTACATGATTGTACTCCTGTATAAATATGCCAGCGTTTCTTGTGAAATGGGAAATTGTGGTGCTCGTCTCAAGGGTGAAGCCATGAATTGGTATCTGCCACGTCCTTCTCACTCACTGCATTTACCTGCTTGTATTGCACATTTGCACAAATATATTTCTCCTTCCATCTCTGTGTGGCCTTTCTAGGCAGGTTCAGGTGGGCATGGAAGGCTGTAGACTTGCTTTCAGGTAGAGGCTGATATTTGTTTGGCAAGGTGAAGTCTGTAGCAATAAGCAGAGTTTTCTGGAAAAAAGTTGGATTGTGAGACTGACAATGTAGATTCTATACTTGACTCTCCCATCGATTTTATGAGTGATCGTGAGGGCCTTAGCTTCATTCTTTCCTGTAAAACAGATATAATGTGTAAAATGCTTGGTGATTTCTGGATGAAAAATGCTATATAAAAGTACTACTTCAAAAAAGTCTTCATACATTTGATAATATCCTTCAGTTAGGAGCTTGTTTTCCTCCTGACTCCCTTGAAAACTAACATTCATCTATTAGTGATCAAACTTCCACCTCATTATTTGCCCAAAAAAGGAGAACTTCATGTCTTCTGCAGAGCAGCAGGTATTTTATCATCATGCCCGGGACAAGATAATGAGGATGTAGCATGAATTACTTGATAAAACAACTATACATACCACATCAGCAGGATTATTTCCTGTCACTGTAAAGTTATTTATTACAGTTCTGTGCTAAACTAAAGCAATGCAAAAACTTAGTATGTTCTGCCTGAGAAGGTAATTAAAAAGATAGCCAGGACGACCTAACAGTGCCCTGTGTGTTGCAGGAAGGCATGCATCGAAAGGAGCAACCTGAATGGAATGCAAAGAAAAATGATCATCTGGGAGGATATCTCCCAGCCGCGAGGGATTGCCGTTCACCCATTTGCTAAGTAAGGAGTGATAAACCTGCGTAACTGCGTAATACTTGGGGAGGCTTCTTAAAAATGGGCATGCCAGCCTTGCCCTTCTGGTAGTCAAAAAGTGCATTAGTCTCATGTTAGGAGAGTCAATGCCTTGCAGAGCTGTGTGAACTGCAAGGTTTTATTGCTGGGTTTCTTTTGTGAGTTGAGACAGGTTCATTTCTCATATAGATTTAAAAAAAAATACCAGCAGCATTAAATATATTGTATGCAGTTTAAGCTAAAGAAAAGCATGAACAGCTGAATTTACCCTGACATTTGTAAGCACCACACTACAAACTTCGATGGTTCCACATCTATTAGTGTGAAGAAGGTAGTCACTTTTAAGTAGTGGTGCTTATAAAGGATTTTTTTGGACATGTTTCAGTTTCTGAGGAAGCTAAACCAAATCCAATTGTGGAGATGTGTTGATTTAAATGCACCTTATATCTTCTAATATCTAATACATCCAATGCTGAGATGATCACAGGAGTTTTTGAATGTTTGAACTCTTGATGAAATTCTGGCCATTTTAATCAATGGCAAAGCCCCGTGGATTTCAGTCAATACGCCTGTAGTAGGATGGCTTTAAATCTGTTGATTTGTTTAGTATTTTTTTTAATGCTCGTATCCTGCTGTAACTAAGAACTGATGAATGAAGCTGAGTTGGGGAGGGTGTTTTGTTAGCTTCACTCTGTACATAAAAGACCTGAAAGAAACTCTCAGTAGAGACTGAACGTGATAGAGACATTTTGCAAATAAACTTTTAAGAACAGGTAGGTTCAGGGAGATTGTTTTTCAGAATTTTTGGTAGAGGCAAGGGCTACAAGGGGAAAGGGAGGAGGAAAGATCACTGAAACCTTTCTTGTTAGAAAGTTAATGGTGAAAGGAGGAACAAACATTATAGCAATATCTATATTTGGAAAGTCAGTATTAAAGAGAGATCTGAGACACAATTAAGACTATTAAGAATACTGATCCCTGCATTGGCTCTAGCAAAACTGCTCATGTAAATAAAACTAGGTGAATCTGTGAGTTATCTCAGTAAACCTGACAAAGGCAGCTAATGCCTATGACAACTGGAGTTCACACTTCAGAAGTAATTGGTTCCTGTAAATGGTAATAAGTAAATGGTTTGGCTATTTCCATTTTAAGTGGCCATCTTGCACTGCCTGTTCTTCAAAAAACAGTAAGCACTCAGGAATCAAGAGGGAGACCCTGAGAATCATGATTTTATTAAAAGAGGAAAAGAGGCTGGGCCTGATACTGGTTTATTTTTGAAAACACAATAACCTGAGGACTCTTGCTTGCTTTCCACAAGTGGTGGGTAATTTTGGTTCCATTTGTACATTGTTACTTCTTTGTTTAGACAAGGGGCTGGCTAATGCATCGTCTTCTGTTGTCTGGGTTTGCTAAACCACTATCACGAGTCATGTGGAAAATGCAGAAAGCAGATATGAAGGGTTAGCAGTTAGCATAGGTGGGAGGAATTGTTTTTCAAAGGTTTTGTGGCAACGAACAGAGTGGGGATTCTGCATAAGTCCCAGTGTAATCACCTGGAGTCTTATGGCAAGTGTTAAAAGATCAGCAGCCAATATATTTGCTTGAAGTGTGCGCTTTTTCTCACGTGCCTCAGGCCTCTATTGCTCTGATCTGATCTCTCTGCTTTGAAAGAACTCCATGGAGAGGAGGACAAATATTTACTTACTGACTTCCTGTATGCATTTTGTTTTTTAAAGGAGATTATTCTGGACTGACATGGGGGTCAATCCCCGAATTGACAGCTCTTCGTTAGAAGGCATCGATCGCCAGGTTATAGCCAGCACTGGTCTGGTGTGGCCCAGCGGAATAGCTCTCGACTACTTAGCCAACAAGTTGTACTGGTGCGATGCTAAGCAGTCAGTGGTTGAGAGCGCAAACCTGGATGGTTCTGGTCGTCGAATTCTTGCACAGAATGATGTAGGTGAGGCTTTGGGCTTGATAATTACCTACTACTGCTTGTCAATGTGCATGTGTATCTGCATATGTGACCGTGCATGCAAATTACTGGCCAGCAGCTGTGCTGTATGTCCCATGCAACTCTGTGTTGAGGTTAATGGCATCACTTAGTTCTTCATTCTGTCACCCAGCTGACTTTTATTTATTCATTTTAGGAAGAGAACACTTTTCTGACATTCTCTGCTTTTACTAATCAGCCCTTTTGCATTGTACAGAGAACTTCTCTGCCTTCATAGAAAAGTGAAAAGAAGGAAGAAGTGGAAAATGTGGTTTGCTTGTTCCATGCGTGGCTGCTTAGTGTAATTCAGGTGTGCATACAAAACATGGGCAGGTCTCTTGGCTCAATACCACAACCGTGGTGGGTAGAGACTTTATGGTTACTCTGTTAGGCAGCTGCCATTCTAGTCTCTGCTCTGGGAAGGCTTGTGTTCATCTCCTAAGCCAGATGCCCTCCCACTTGTTTGGAGGTGAGCAAAATGAGGTCTTGGAGGAAGTGATGTTCTCCAGTTCATAAGACATCGAAAGCCCTGAGCAGAGTGACTTGCCAGCATTCCTCTCTTCCCCTCCTGCACGTGTTCTGCTTTACACGCCACCTTGCAACTGATCTGCAAAGGAGGACCTTGAAGCCTGTTGAAAGTTTCACTTTATTTCTCCACAAGGAACGCGACAGTGTCTTACAGGGAAAAAACAGAGAAGGAGAGCTAGAAACACTGGAGAAACACAGGGTAAGGGAAAGGAGGTAGGCTTAGAGCAGTGATACAGATGTTTGGAGGTGGGAGGAAAGGACATCAACACCTGATGGAAAAAAGTGAGAGAGATGAAGTGCAGACCTGTAGGGGTGTGAATTTAGAGAAGCAAAGAGACTTGACATCCTGATGTTTTGCTAATGCTGTTAGTGAGACCAGAATTCAGCTTCTGTTCCAGGAAAGCTGTACGCTGGAGGGTGGGAAGGTGGCATCTTCTCGTTCGTAGACGTCCTGCTGTAACACGGGTTTTTGTTACAGCGGCTCCCTCTAGTGCCCCTGTACTGAGAATTCATTCAGTATAGCTGCATGCAAAATAAGTAAATTATTTCTGCTCTTCTGCTAACCCCGTTTTCAGCTGTAAGTAAAACAGCCTCAAGGCATTTTAACAACACAACCTTTCCTTTTGTTTATGCAATGGGTCGGGTTGCACTGTCGCAGAAGGAGTTCCTGTGATTATTAACTGTTCTTCGTATCTTCATTGATGACACTACACTTATTTTTTTAATCCTTAATGTATTTATAAGTTAAGAGGTTCAGGAATTGCTGGTCAAAGTGGGGTGTTTTTTGTTGGTAGTGGAAGCTATAGACCCTAAAATTGTGAATAAATATCTGGATGGGGACAGTATCCAGATCTTGGGCTAGCTGCTCAAATTTCATGGAAAGAAAAGCTAAGAAACATGCCCAGCAATTAAGCATGGTTCAGTGGAGGTAGTGAAGTGCTAACAGAATAAAAATATGCTCTTCAACTTAACCTTTAAGGACACTTAAACAAAGTCTTAGAATTTATATGTAGGAGTGGACTTTTTTTTCAGTTTATTTGTGATGCGTATTTAAGATGTACCAACACATACTCCTTCTCCAAGGTTCTAATTTATCTGTTGTTTTGTTTGCTTGGCTTTGATTTTTATTTTAAAATTTTTTTTTATTTTTTTAAACTAATAACTTTTGGGTTCCCAATTTCATTACCTAGTCGAGGCCTACATCAAAAACCAAAAACACAGATCATAAAATCGTGTGCCTGCAAAACATATTTCTCAGAGAGGCTCAGACAGCAGTGGTACAAAGTGAGGTGCATATTCAGACTCTAAGTAAAGACCAGAACAAAGAAAACCTGCTTCAGCTAGGAAGCACCCACTCTGAAACCAGGTGGATATCTGTGGAATATATGTTTTTACCTTCCATTAAAAACAGTTACCCAAAGGCTATCTTGAAAGCAGGAGACTTCTAAATTTATAGAAAGAATGCATAGTCCCATATGGACTAATGACAATTTTCTATCGTGACAGACATATTAAAAAGAGTGAGAATCATTTTGCAAAGATCTTTGTAAGTATGTCTGCCCTTATATATATGAAAGTGTCCTTTGGATACTGAATGGCTGAGCTTCTCTCTGGAAGTCAAACTAGGGATCTGAGGTTTTTCTAGTGCAGATAATGTTGTGGTACCAAGGAAAACTTGCTGAACTATGAACTTGGGGTGAGATTTCTCTCACCTACTGTTAGCCAGGTAAGTGTGAGGTGCCTGGTCTAAGCTGGTGTCTAGTTTCCTGTTGTAATTAGCAAAAAGTGAGGAAGCTACCTGGATGACCTGTTGCATCCCATGGTATGTGTTAGCTGTTACTGTTAGCTGGCTGACAGATAGTGACTAACTGGTCACAGCCTAATGCTGCTAGTTGGCTGAAGTGAGGAAAAGGAATTGCTCTCTTCAATTTTGCACCGTGATGAATTGGCTAGTGAATGTCTGAGCATGTTTATACGTACATCTGGACTACTGTGTTGCACTCGTGTGTACTTTTGGCACTTGCAGAGACCACACACTGGCTTTGGAGTCCTACCATGAGTCAGTGGCTATAGTGTCTGTAGCTCCCAGGCTGCCCTGTGCTGGTACACTTATGCGGTATGACACGTGCCATGAGCTCCTCTCCTCCCTGTTATGTGAAGACTGCAAAAGGAGCTGTGTACCTCAGCAGTTCTGTGCTGGGCCACTTGCTGGCAGAGGAGGGAGGCACTCCTCTTCTGAAAGGCTGATCCCAATGCTACTTTAATAAATGATGATGTCTGATGTAGAAGCATCTTGTGGATTTGATCTGGTTGGAGATCACCAGCAGTATAGAGACTGTACTGAGCCAGGCAAGTGTCATAGGCTCCTCTGCTAAGAGCATAATTAACGTGCCCGTGGTCCATCATCCACGGCCACTTATCCGTCCCCATGAGACATCAAAGTGGAGAAGTGGCTATGGCTATGCCACTTAGAAGTAGACCTGTATGCAGATACTGCTTTTGTTTACATGGTTTCTTATGTATGTTCTACAGAGGTAGAAATGAGAAATCTAATTTCTTTGTAGGTCACCCTTTTGATGTAGTGGTGTTTGAAGATCACCTTTGGTTTTCTGACTGGGCTAGGCCATCACTAATGAGGGTGGACAAGAAGACCGGCCAAAACAGGGTACGTCTTCGAGGCAGCATGCTGAGACCCTCATCAATGGTTGTAGTTCATCCTTTGGCGAAACCAGGTATACTGCAAAAATTAAGCAGTCATTCCCTTCCAGCCTCCTTTTGTTTAGTGATATCAATAGAATAGATGTCCTTGGGGAGAGGATTATCTTCTCAGAAACAGGCTCTTTAAAAGGCCTTGCATAGTCAGACTGGCATTTATTGAAAGCATCATCTGGGCATGTGTCCCAGGAATACTAACAGATTTTGTGTATTTATGATCATGCCCAAGAATAGATGCTGATCAATTGCCACAAGGCCACTATAGTCTTCTAATTCCTATTTATCCTAGCTTATTATCACCCTTCATGCATACAAATAATAACAAATGACATGGAGAAAGATTTTGTAAGATTTATTAATTTTGGATCAAATAATTTGTTTTCTATTGGGAACAGTCTCCCCGTAAACAGGAAAAAGTAATTCAATACACCAGGATTGAGAGAAGGTAATCACAGGTTCCCTGTGCCCTTGTAATGTTCTTTCAGGGAATGTTAAGACTCTAAATATTAAATGAGAAATAATAAAGGAAATTTAAAAAAAAAGTGATACATTTATTAGATAGAGAGTATGCAAATCTGCTTTCCTGCCAGAGACTAGGTGATCGATGCTTTACCATGTGCATCTGTTTTTAATTAAAAAAAAAAAAAAAAAAAAAGAAAAAAAAAAAAGATGTTCTAGTTTTTGTCAGTTCTTATTCTTTTTCCAACTGCTTCAACTCTGCACAGCTAAAAGGAGATGTGACTGAAGAAGCAGCTTGTTAAGTTGCCTATTTTTCTGCATTAGGGGCAAATCCTTGCCTTTATGAGAATGGAGGCTGTGATCAGATCTGTGAAAACAATTTTGGAGTTGCCCATTGCATGTGCCACCCAGGATTTGGGAAAACTCAAGATGGAAAAACCTGTCATGCTCTGGATGCTTCCAGCACAACAGCAGGTACAATCCTCCAGTTCCAAAAAAGACCGTCCCCATACCCTTGAGGATCCTGACAGCATTGGAAAATATTCACTCTACATAATGAGTTATGGTTTCTCTGAAGAATGCAACCACTGGGGTGTTGTCCTAGGACAATAACATGTTGTTTGACCATTGTAATTTTTCTCTAGGCATATTAGCAGTAAGAGAAATGTGTGCAGTGCTGACAAGTATTGTGAGCAATGAGTTGCATTTCTTGTCTTTTGTATTTGAGAAAACCCACTGGTGAATGGTTTTAGGAATAATTTGAGGCCAGAAACAGGCTAGCCTGAGGGGATACAGATGGTTTTTTTAGAAGGAAACCACCATGATTTTTGGAAAGTAGACAAATGATAGAAAGTCAGAAAGTTAGTTCAGTAGATTTAAACAGTCTGTGTCACTTCTTTCTTGTCTTTTTCAGGAAGCGTCTCTGTGCGCAAGGCAGCAGTGCCGATGCCAACACCAGAGACCTTGCTCTGGAGCACACAAAGCAGTGGGATATTCGAGGATACAGACAGTGGGGAAAAGCAGAAAATCAGCATTTTGTTGACGGCTGAAATCATGGTATCAGGTAGAGTCTGATGATTGTCTCCCTTCTATTTACTGTGAAGCTCTAAACAGGTTTATAGAATGGAAAGAAATCATAGGCCTTAAAGGAAGAAAGGCTCAGTGTCAAGACTGGTGACATTCACGCTCTTAAGCCTCTAACAAGAAGTTAAGTCTATGCAATTATGCCGGGTAGGAGTGCTTTTTTGTTTGTTTGTCTCCATGTTCCTTCTCTATGTCAACAAAACTTCATCATGCTATGCAGGCCTAGAGAACAAACATTTCTAATTTGGAACACTTGTGAAAGTCTCTCCCTTAGATTTTATAGGTATAATAAGTTCCTCTGACCAAAATTGCAGTAAACCCCATTGAATTCTACATATTTACCATGACACTAGATCATTAAATTGTACAATAGGTTTTGCATACAATATTCAGAAATCCTGATACTAAATGAGACTTCGAGTCTATCTAGACAAAGACAACAGCCTGAATGATTGTATTGGCTGTAGTGGAGAGCTGTGTTTCAAACTTTAACTGTATGTTCTGGTTTTCTTGTTGGTTGGTTGGTGAGGTTTTTTTATATATAGTACCTCCTTTGACCTGTCCAAACACATCTAGTGGCTTTTTTGGTCTTGTTTATGCTATAGATCAAGATGACTGCACTGCACTAGAATGCGACGTCAACGCACAGTGTGTTTTGCTGGAAGATGGTGCTATGTGCCAGTGTTTGAAAGGATTTACCAGGAAGGGGAAATCATGCTATGGTAATAAAAGACATTAGTACAACCTTCTGGAAAACTGTAGATTGGGGGAGAGGAAGAAAATCTATCTTTTCTCACATTGGTAGGTCTGCTGCGTGGGCCATCACAGAAAGGTCAATGGTATTCTTTGTTTTGAAAGGGATGATGAGCAGAGAGCACGTGAGATGAAATGGCTAATTATCACATGCCTTATTTTCCCCTGAGTTATGAGTGTTAATCCTATTAATATTAACAAGCAATAACAGGGATAATAGGAATAAAAACATAATATATTTATTTGTAAAAATTGCCTAATTGTAAAATCTCAGTCCATAGATGTGATAGTTGATGTATAATTTAGAAGTAGGTATTAAGGAATCTCTTAAAAATTAGTATTCCTGATGTAATGTTTATATAAAAATGCTGCTCTTGTTTCTTTCTAGCACTAGAAAGGAATTCTACAAATCAGATAACACAGTGCTCAGAGTAATCTTTAAGTTTTTGGACTTGCATACAACATAAACGGAAGCACTTTGTTGTCTCATAAAGACCAAGACAGGAAGGCATTAGAAACAGAACAATTTACCATTTGGTGGCTAAGCATGAAGACTCACAGGAGTCTGTGTTGCTATGGAAAGGAAAAAAAAAAAAAAAAGGAAGGTGAAATGGGTGTAAATTTTTTTAATTGTAGTACTTTTTTTTTTTTTTTTTTAAGCTTACGTGTTCTTTCTCAAAACAAAGTTTCTCTCTGAGTAGGGTTTAAGAATATAAGGCTAGTTTTGAATGGGATCATTCCCTTCAAATGGGATTTTTTTGAAGAAAGTGGTATTTGTGGAACTTCTACATCTCCAGTTGAAAGTAGCTGGTTGACTGTCTTAGGCTCTTTAGAACATCCCCATCAAATTTCATACCAAGAAAAGACCACAAAGCCCTTCTCTTGCCATTTGCTTCAGACGTACAAATGACAGGTGACAGCATTGTCTGAGGGAGATCCATGATGTAGACATTTCTTTTTATTGATTTACCTGATGGTTTCATGACCCATGTGTCCCGTCTCCTTGTTTTGTCTCACAGATGTTGATGAGTGTGCTGTAAATATGGATCACTGTAATCGAAACGTTTCGAGCTGTATCAATACGGAAGGGGGCTACGTCTGTAAATGTCTGGAAGGCTACACTGGAGACGGAGTCCATTGCTACGGTAGGGGCACATGTGAGGGCTGTGCTGTGTCTGGAAGGCTGAGGCAGGACAAATGAGCAAGAGACATGTCTTATAATTTGGGCTAGCCTTGCACCAAGCTATGAAGCTGTCAAATGAGCTATTCTGCTTCTTTTTTGAAAAATCTGGAAGGCATATGGATCCTAACAGTGGCTCCCCCAGACAGTTGACATTTATAATTTCTTCCTTTTTGATCCTTTCCTTCCTGTTTGAAGTGTGGCAACCTCAGCAACTGATCAATATGCAAAGCCTGTAGCTGTCAGTGGATACCTGCTCTCGGTGTTTGCACTCTTTTTAGTAGCTACAGCAGGAGAGCAAGGAAGAGTGAAGGGGAGGGAGGAAACGGAGGCGAAACAGTAGAGCTTTATTGGAAATCGTTGCCATGAATATAAACGAAAGCAGGTATTGAGTGTGTCATAATACTCATCAAATAATTCCAGGTTGGTTTAATAGGTATGAAGTTCAAGGTGTTGACACTGACAACTTGAGTACATTTAGAGTCTTGTTAATAATCAGATCCACAGATTTTCCCATCCAGCTCTAATGCCAGTTCTTAAGTTCATTCCTTACATTTCTTAATTTTTTAAATCCTTTTTACCAGTAAATATGAAGGAACAGGAAGCTTTTTTCCCCCCAGTATTTGACTGGCACACAGTTTGTTCAGAGCTTTATGAGTCTTGTCTTCTTTTTTGTCCTTTTCTTTTTCCTTTCGCCTTTATAGCCTAATTCAAAGCCCATTAAATTTGACCCAATTCTTACAAATAAGTCTTCTCTTCAACTCTGCTGTACTTGTCTTGTTTCATGGGGAAGCCTTTCCTTCCTTCTCCCTGTGGAGAGCTTCTGTAGCAGCATAGCATGCTCTGAGAGGCTGGGGAGGCCATGATTACTTGGCGTCAAACGTATGCTGGTTGCCTTTCTGTTGCGTTTTCCGTGAAGGCGTATTTGCAGAGGGAAGGTCTTCGGTGTTTTTCCCCACTGCCAGGAGACTGCAAATGCTGCAACTGCTGCCCTTTTAACCGATGCTCTGAGGTATTTCGTTCTTCTAACTGCAGACTGTTTGGGTGACAGATATTGATGAGTGCAAGACGGGGTCCCACACCTGTGGAGAGAACATAACCTGTATAAATACAGAAGGAAACTTCACTTGCTCATGTGCTGATGATGCTTCTGGAACTGGCATCGGTTGCAGTGAGTAAATGGAGTGAGCAATTAAAATGAAGTGTCCCTTAACTGACAACTGTGTTCTTGGATAAATTGTTATACCTGGAAATTAGGGAAACCCTGTATAGTGACATACTGGGCAGCTTGTGGATCCATTTAGCATTGCCTGAGGGAGGCTGTTTTGAGGTGCACTGAGAAGACCAGATTCGAGTTTAGTTTGGAAAAATCTATATTAAGGTTCAATGCTTATTTTTACTATTTAATTGTAATGACACATCTATCTAATAGCCTTTGCAATCAACTCCTTGGAGGTAACAGTTTTGGAGGTGATTTCAGTCTGTGTCATTTTTCAAACTCCCTGTGCCTTCTTTCCCTCAGCAGAAGGCTAGCACGAGCACTGCACATAATTTAAGTCCCATTTATTTCTTCAGAATAAGCTAGTCTTTCAGATCCAGTGGCTAATTTTTCAAAAGGGCTCTGAAACTGTTTAGAAAATCTGGTTACCTATTTAATGAAGGGAGCTCATGAAGGTTCAGCACTAGTGACTATCTGATCCTTATTTCAGTGCTTCAATGTGACAGCAGCATTCTCTGAAAATGCGGAGCCGAGTGACTCATTTTCTTACTCTGTGTCAGCCCTCTTCATCGGAGTGAGTTTTACTTCAGATCAAGTGACTGTCTGATGATGGAGGGACACTGTGTGATTGTCACAGATCTGTTTCTGCAGAAAAACAGAAGGAAAATATGGCTTTTTAGAGTAGAACACCTATCAGGATCCCCACCCCCTTTTCAGTTACTTAAGCTTTCAGTAGTTTCAGGTGTCACTCAGGAAATGATGACTTTAAATGATGCATGACTTGGGAGTAATGCCTTCTAGGTCCCTTAGCTGTAAGTCTTATCTCATGTCTTCATGGGTGTTAAGATACTGTTTTAGTTCTTTGCCTAATAAGTTCTTTTAGCAAGCTGAAATTTTCTTTGCAGAATGCAGTCACACCTGGGGTTCACTAAAAACACTCATCCCTTTCCCTTTAGGCTCTTTGCCATGGCAGTTCTCCTGCAAATGAAATTTTAAAAAACAAATGTCATTGAAGGTCATGTTGCAATAAAACTGGTGTGAGTCATAAAACTGATCCCATAAACGTATGAGAGCGTTCGGGCACATTTCTGCTAAGCCATACTACTAGAAATTCTTTGCCATGTAGATGTTTGGTTCTGACCTATGGATTTGCTGTAGCATCACAGTAGGCAAGAAAGTGCTCCTTTTCTGTAAGGGCATGTCTGCACTGTAGGTCACGCTGTGCAGAGATATTAGAGCTACCTTTAAAACTAGCTGGTTTGGATATCTGTGTAGGTGACAGTGTGTGCAATTCAGAGCAGGCTACAGAACCCTTTGAAGAACTGTGTCAATAGAGTTCCCTGCTTCCCCAGTGATGCTGTTATCTGTACCTGAGGTAGCTGGAAACAATAAAAAATGTGATCTGCAGTCACACGCATATGCAATCAACTGGACTGCCAATGCAGTTTCTCTTCAGAGCTGTACTCACACATCTAAACACACAGAATGCAGCCAACCTCTGTGGGTCTTTCATTGCAAATCTAGAATCAAGCATATTTAGTATTTTGATCTAAAGTTCTATGTGCCTAAATTTGATAAGCAACATAAGCAAATAGGTAAAACACAAGTAACTCGTTGAAATTAGAGATTTTTACCTACTTTCCTATCTCAAAATTCTAGAACTCTTTTGTAAGATCATGTTACCAATGCAGCCAAAAGTTTAGAGATGTCCTTGTGAAATCCTGTATTGCAGAATCTACCGTGTCCCCCCCTGTTGTCAGCAATGAATACTCTACACACTCTGTGCAAGGTGATGTTGTAGGATGCCCTCCTTCCTACGAGTCATACTGCCTCCATGGTGGAGTGTGCAATTATGTTTCTGATCTACAAGACTATGCCTGCAAGTAAGTACAGAAATTTGTTTTGCCTGTGCTGATGAATGGTATCCTTAGGGCTCAGTTGAGTGCAGACTGTGAAGTGTTTGTCCATAAATTATCTGTTCATCACTCATGTTTGCAATTATCATTAGACTCTGCTCTTTTCTGTGAGTGATCGCTGTAAGTTTCTGTAAGTGGTCACTCCATTCACACCTGTTACAATTAATAGTAGGATTGGATTTGTTCCCTAAGCACTCAATGCTTTGCTTTGGAAATGTGAGATAAGTTGTTAAATGACTTGGTGCTCATGGCTTTATGAAAGAGGTGCTTGCTGTCTCTCCTGTAGGTATTGTGCTGACTTGTACCTCCTTGTTGGCCTTGCTGTTCATGTGTAGCACTCACTGGAATGGAAGAGGACACCTCTGCCTTGTCTTCTCTGACTGGGACCAGGGAGGAGAAGTCTGGTGTCAGCATCTCCCCTTACAGTTTGAAGAGTCTTGGTCTCTGGCAGAAAGGGTACAACATGATAGTCCTCTTAAAAACAGAGTAGCAATGAGACCTCAAAAACGAGACCACCTTCCTCCTGTCAATATTTCTGTGTGGCTTAATTCCTGCTTCCCCAAATGCAGTTACTGATAAAAACAAAGAGAATCTCATATCTCTGACCAAAAGTCAGCCTTGGGCTGGTCAATGTGATGGCCTAGTCCCATGGGGTAATAATTTCTTCAAAACCATTAGTGCTAAAGCTTAATTGTGTAAGTTGATTATATGTGAATCTGTGAATCTTTCTTCAAAATCAAGCATAAAAGTGTTTACAGTGGGACAAATCCAATGCCTGCCTCTTCCCCTGGGGTCTCGCCTGGTAGACGAGGACCTGTGCAGGGGATGGATGCTGTTCCATAGTGGGCAAATCTCCCTCTGTGTGAGGGACAGACCCTGGAGTGAGGAGAGCGAGCTTTGTGCTGAAGCGTTTCTTTGACCCACCATCCCCCCAGATCTTCCTTGTACTGAATGGCAGGAACCTCTGCACTAGGCCATTCCTGCAAGCACTGTCAAATCCTAGGCTTTCTTATTTTTAAGTGTGAGTGGTCTCCCCTACCTGCAGACCTCTGTACCTGCAGGAGTATGAAAAGAATCTCTCTCATGTATATACATGGGAACAAAATGGATGCTTTGTGCGATGGATTTCCTAAGCTCAGCAAAACCATTACAGGAGATGGACTCATGGTCATGTCCGGTATTTGTTATGAATTTTTAGTGTAAATTTTTTGAGGCATTGAAAACTATCTTTTTTTTCATCTCATTGAGTTTCTCCTGTTGAAACTGAAGAGTCTACAAATGCAGAACTTTCAAATTGGATCTTTTTGTCTTTTATTTGTGCATAACAAGAATCCAAATGTATGTATTCTTCAGTTCTAGAAGTGGAAGCCGTTTAAAAAATTAAGGAGCAGCCATGCTTAGCCATGTTCTTGGGAGTCAGGGTTTGTGTGTGGACCTTGCTGAACTCTCACTAGATGGCAGCATTCATTCATGTAGGCTGTAACGTATTAAATACCAAAACGAAGTCCTGGAAAAATGTTATCTAGCAAAAATAACATACCAAATGTGATTTGTATTTTAATTAATAAAAGCACTTACACTAGAAAGTAGATCTTCTAGCTTGTTTGGAATTTATTGTGATCTTACACTAAAAAAAATAGTATTTTTCTGCCTTCCAACATATATGCATTCTAATTTGTGACAGAATGAGAGTGCTTGTGCCTGATTTAATAATGAATGCTGATATAATTTTTTCATGACATTAGGTAAGAGATGCTGCAGGTTTAATCATGCTTCTTTTGCTCATTTGACTAGCTGTTTTGGCTTGAGTAAAGGTAGACTGATAAGAATTGTGAGAAGGATTTGAGCCTATGTTGCTGAGAAATTGTTATGAATTGGGTAGACTTTTCATTTTTCATGTTTATTATTTCCTTTTTTGTGTCTCACACCATGGACAGTAAAACTAGGCTGAGATTCTTTTTTTGGTATTTTTCACTTTCTAGTAATTTTGATTTGAGGGTTTTATGCACTGATAAGATATTTCTATGTTGGGTTTTAGAGTGGTAAAAACAAACAAATAAACAAAAACTGCCTATAAAAGAAGCTTGTATTAAAACTAAATTATGAAGATATTTCTAACCCATACATTTTTTTAAAACACTTTCATTTGTTTTTTATTTTAAAGTTAGCATTCAGATTAAAATTTGATTCCCTTAACCAAATCACTCTGAAAATATAAGTAAGTCCTATATTGCCTATTTCAAAGAAAGGAAAACTTGCTGCTGGGCACAGTTAAATGGGAAATCTTAGGGAAATACTAATCAAACATCAGGATTTAAGAGAAAATTATTTTTTTCTATTCTTTATCCATTGGAATCTGGAAATTATAATTTCTCTGTATAATTCTGTAGGTGATTCAATAGCTTTACAGTAAAAAAAGTCTTTTAATATTGAATTCTACAGGTTTTGACAGTCATTCCTTTAAAGTCATTTTGTCTTCACCACTACTAAATTCAACCAGATATTTCCGTAGTGGTTGCCAATGGTAAATCAATACACAAGGTGAGTGAAGTGATGATCTGAGGTTTTTTCCTGTGCCGCCAGTTACAAAGTGTGCTCACTTCCTTTTGGCAGCTGCGTGACGGGCTACGTCGGGGAGCGGTGCCAGTTCAGCGATCTAGAGTGGTGGGACCAGCAGCACGCCGAGCGAGTGAAGATGCGGAATATCACCATCACAGTGTGCGTAGCAGTGCTGGTCCTCCTGCTACTGCTGGGGTCCCTGGCTGCCTACTGCCACAGGTAGCGCTTCCAAACATGTGCCGGGAACGTGTGGCAAAGGGACCGAGGTGCTGCTGACTTTCACAGAGGGCTCATGGCGAAGAACATGAGCTGTTACTCATCTAGTGGAAATCACCATATCATCCTTGTTACTTTTCAGTAATTGGATCTGTGAATAGTTCAGAAAGTTCTGGCGTGTCCCTTGCTTGCAGTACTCGCGTTGGTGTTAGCGAGTGATGTGTGTCTGGGGGGAAGAAGAATACTTTATTAGGTTTGAAGAGGAGCCATAATTTGTATTGATGAGAGCGTTCAGGAGCATGCTATTTACTTCTTCATTGGTTTTCCTCAAGAGCTCTAGATGTCCGAAACTGTCATGGTGGGGCTTGGCTCTTCTCTGCTATCTATCCCATTAGTTTGGGTTTGCTTCCCTTTCAGTGTAGAGTGGCACTTGAAAGGTTCCTTGCCATTGAGAAAAGCAACGTGCTAACTTTCCAATAGCAAACTTCCACAGTGATGCCTCCAGCAACGAATGTGAAAGCAGTTTTCCTGGCAGTAGAAAGAGTAAAATCAGGGATCTGAGCCTAAGGCACATCTGTTGTAAAAGTAGTCCCTGGCATTTTCTGTGGCTGTAATGAATTGTGCAGGTTTGGGATTCTTATGGCAAAGGAATCCCCACAGCCACTATTTAAGAACCCAGTTTGATGTGAAATTAAATGTTATCGATGTCCCTTGGACTAGAAATTATTCACCATTTAATAAGTTAGAGTGTTTTGGCCATGACCTTGGCAGAAATCTGTTCTCTGAGGCTCTTGTTTAAATGCAAATTTATATTTAAAAATAAACAAACAAAAAGCCAGACAGCAGCCAAACCAAGAGTGTCCTGCTGCATGCTGACCTACCCTCTGTGTGCAGGGGGTTTGTTTGTGGTTTAGGTTAATTTTAAAATTAGACTCTCCTGGGCATGAAAAGTTAAGCTGCAAAAGAAGTTAACTATGGAAGCTAATATTTTCCATTCTTATTTAGTGATTCCTAGCATATTTAGTCCGTAATAGTAGAGAAGCTGTCATGTTTCTTATTTTCTATTAACTAACTAATGGTGGAGGTCCAGAATTAAAGCTAAGCACATCCTGGAATTCTCACGACCTAGAATTCAGAGGCTAATCAGTGGAATGATACATGCAGAATAGACAAACTGTGAGATTCATATATTTTCTACAGATGTCATATAAACTGTCATGAAAAAAGCCAGAATATGGCTGGTTTTAAGGTGTGAAGATACTCATTCTCTTCCTTTCCTCCATCTTTTGTCATTTCTCCCTGATTTACCTTTCTTGCCAAATGCTTTTGATCAATATAACTATTTACCTTGACAACAAGTTTTCAATTACATGCTTGACTGAATTTGTACTGCAGCTATTACTAGCATAACTAGATCGAAATGAAACCACTGACCTAAAATCTCTATTTAACTGGAGTCTGGAAACCAGTATTTGGGTTGAAATTGCTATATACTGCTTTTTCACATAATCTACTGTATTTTGAAATGTATCGATTAAGTCTGTAATAGTCCTGTTCCTTCCCCTGTAAAATAGAGATACCTATCTCCTTTTAATTGGAGGAAATGAAGTTGGAGATCTACACCTGCCAATTTGAAAAATGTGTGAACTGGAGGCCAAGGATACCAAATTATTGTGTTGGTTTGTTCGATGACTGTAGCCTACTGAAGAGCATTGTGTTATTCTTAATGTTAGGTTTATGTAGTCTGACTGTATAGTATGCCAAGTTTCCTAGCTTCCTTGGGAAGCAAGGAAACAACTCTTTTCCAACAAAAAAACCCAACACCTGAATCACAGATTTAATGCCCACAATCCCTCCACCTCAACTGACGAAGGCTATGCAAAAATTGACAGTAGGGCTGGTGTTAGGATTGAGTAGGACTGGTACTAGGATTGAGAAATTCTTGGCCTCTTGCACGGTCAACTAGATTTCACTGCCTCGTCTGCTTGTGCTCAGTCGCACACGAAGACTCCGATGCCCGCCAAGTCCATCTGGCATCTGTTACTCTGCATGCTGTAAAGTAAGATGTAGAATTAGTGATCTTCGTGAGCGGGGCATCCCGCTGAGGACCGTGTCTATGTGTGAGCTCTGTGCAATGGATTTTGCGACTCTTGAGTAATGGATTCACGTTTTGTCAGCACTATGAGCTGTAATGCAGAACGGGCACATCCAGCTGACAAAACATGAACAACAGCCTTGCTACAGCATCAGGAAAAGTTAAAATGGACTAATTTACCTTATTTCTCATCATTCTGCTCTGTGGATATACCCTCAGATCCGACACCTATTTGATTTCATATTAGCAGACCTAGTCTTATCCTCTACTGGAGACAATAATATTTTTTTTAAATGTTTGAATACAGAGGAACATGTTATAGAGAATCTGAGGAGAAAATCCATGGCAGAGACAGGTCTTTTTTGTTTCCAGCAAAAAGAAAATTTTATTTACATTGTATTTTTGTGAAGGAAGCAACATATGATAATTACGACAAATGCGTGTTCCCACTTAGTATATGAATGTGATGTAGATATAAAAGGAAAATTAGTATTTTCTTTGGTACAAGTCTATTAAATTTCATTTAAAATAGATCAAGTAAAAGGATGTTATAATTTGAGACTTCCGGAATTTGAAGAGTGTAACAGTAATTTTGTTAGCTGACGTCTCGGAGGGGAAAAAACATGTATGTAAAGTCAGTAAAGATGTACTGGTTTGGATCTCAAGCAGTGTAAATGAGCTCTTTCTTATGACCATGTTTTCTATGTTGGGGCATATACGGGCTTTTAGTACTGGCTTATAAGTGATTGCTGTTTAACTGCAAAAATAACAATTTTTGAATTTATGGAGCTAGTCACTTAGAGCTGATTATTTGTTTCCTTTTCCAACTCCAGGTTGTACTCTTGGCTTTTTTCCCTTGAGCTAATTCTGTTGGTCATGCTTTTTCCTGGAAATGTCTTCGTTCCGAGCTTTTTGAGGCTTTCAATTTGTTTATTTTACAGTAATTTCTGAAATTGTTGTTTTTCATAAATGATGCAGATGAATGCAGAAGTGACTTTCATAATTGTAACTATCAGTGGTGTACAGAATACAGTCAGATTTTTATTTCTGAGCTTCACCCACAAATGCTGTTCATTGTATTGACTGAAACATAAATCTTTATTAGAGGAATGTATTATAAATAGAATAATATAAGAAAATGGAAAGGGGTAGTTGAAATTATGAGGCCTATTGTTTTTTCTAATGAATGACCCTTTACAGATGGCACAGTAGAACAATCATTTGTTCACTTCTTACTGACGACTGTTTCTGACAAGCTGTTTGTTTTAACTACTGTGCAGTAATTGACAGTAATACACCCTTTCAAACCAATGAAAAAACCCGAAATAAATGTCCCTTCTGTAAATACGAATAGAATAATGTGTGAAAGGAAGCAGCTTCTGTTCCTCCCAAAGCAAAATAATTTGTTTCTGCTTTTGTTCTGTTGCAGAAGTCAAAACTTGTATAAGAAGAATCTCTATGCAGAAGCGATAGGAGATGCCAGCAGCCCCACTGACAATGAGAACGTGACACCTACTAGCAACAAGTCTCGGGTAACTATATTAATGTGGAGTGGAAAGGGAAGCAGGAAGGATCAAAGAGTGTTAGGGATCCACTTGAGATTATCCATCAAATAATTCACATCTTAAATATATTAAATAACTGCTACAGTCATCAAGTGCTTTGCTGTGAACCCTAGTTCATCTTACCTCATTGTTATCCCTCAAAGTTCACAGCTGCCTGGATGTATTGCAACCATTAGCCAGTGTTATTGTTAGCTTTGAACACAACAGTTGAGGAACTGTGTTCTAAATTAAGGAAATGGCAATGTGATGACATGGCATATCACGGAGTTATTTTCACAGGAAAGTATGCCCTCCATAAAAAAGGCTTCTTGGAAGCCAAGTGTGGTGTGTGCTACATGAGATGTTGAACTTTGTTTTGGGGGTTGATGAAATTACATGTCTTTGTATTAGAGGCTGCTGCCTTGTAAAGAAAAACAACTAGGATGTTATCGGGCAGCTTGGGAGGGAATATAAAATACCAATTTTGCACTGGTGTAGGTAGAAATGCTGTCATGATCTGGTTGTACTGGCCTGTTTCTGTTGTTTTTGAAGTTGCCTGAGAGAATTTGACCCCGTAAGATCTGATCTAAGGACCTGATTCTTACTGCCATTAAAAGGACATTACACTGCTGGGTGATTGCTATTGAAACCTGAAGTTGGCAAAGGTGACATATTTGACATCTGTGGCTACTTCTGTGCCCAGTCTGAGACTCCTTTCTCAGAATGGTGTGACTTACCCTGAGAGCTTGTCTGCATGCACATATCATTCAGCTCTGAATAAGGCGCTGGAGTACAGGTATCACCATACTTGTCCAGGTAGCATCACATTAGCTAAGCAGCATACACTCTTCAAAACAAGCAGAGTTATTGCAGTGGAAAAGGCTACTGGAAGAGTTTATACTTGTACAGGATTGGTGATGAACTCTAGTGAATCACATACCTTTTGACTGGGGTAACTGCACACATGTTTTTCCAGTATGGGTATTACTGCAAGGTTTTAAAGCCTTCCACACCCAACTATAACTGGAAAGGTACAAGAACTGTGTGTGTAGTAGTCATGGTCACAAAAGAATTTTACTTTAAATGGCCTGAAGTTTGACTCTGCTCCAAATCTTTGAGTCCAGAAAGAGATGAGTTTGTTCTACTTGGGACTCTCTTGGAGGGGTTAAATATCATTAAATATTTACAGTGGAAATCCAAGGATTTTTAATCAACCCGAAGAAGGACTCAACAAATGGTTTAGATTGAGTGTCTGGCAGGATTTGTGAGCGGGTAGCAATTGAAACACACGGTCAAACATATGTTGGCAGTACTGAATTGACTTCACCCTGGTTACGACATACTGTTCCTTAGCTAGTCAACTGCATACTCTTGTGGACCTTTCATTACCAGCACTTTGTTCCTCCAGGTACTGGACAGCAAATATGGCGGTGCCATCATTTGTTCACAGCAGAGACAAAAACCACAGTTTGCAAAATATCTGAGGCTGAGAAAATCAGAAACATTTGTTGGGACTGAGAACAGCTCGTTGCCTGGGAGCAGTGCTCTAGGAGACCTGCAGCTCATCAGCTCTGTCCCCACCTGCCATTGTCCCCATAGTTAATGCTAGTGGTCAATGACATTTTTGCTGAATATAGAGGTAATTTGACAGCTAAGCAACGGACTGAATCAACTAAACCAAATCCAACCTACTCATCTATTACACACTCATGTTAAATTTCACCATGCATTGTTGCACTGGGAGACATCAAATACATTAATAAAGTAATTTATTGCAAATAGTTTGTTGCAGGTTGGAAGAGAAAATCACTGACCCTTTGCTAATTATTGCTGCTTACGCAGTAGTGGACTCCTGCGGTTTCATGCGCGTGATTCTCTCTGTGCTGATGTAGCCATTGAGTGTTAGGTTCACTGGGGCTTCATGCATGCATGCACTCAGGTGAGAAACTGTAGCATTGCCAAAAAGCAGCACGAGGTTATCCATTCCTACTGTTCACTTAAAGTGGATTATTTGGGAGCTTTATGTAAAAAAAGAAATTATACTACCTCGGGGACAGAAAACTCTATAGTTCCTCACCTCTTAAGGTACTGGAATAGGTTTTTGGATGCTGTTGATTTACACAGCATTAATAATCCTAATTGTATTGGGACCGGATGATGTGTATGCAGTAACTAAAGAGCTCATGAAATTCACTCCTTTTGTAGCCCACAGTGCTACTGCTCATTTGTGAGGCTGGGGAGAGGGAGTGCAAATACTTTCTTGTTCTTGCCCATCTAGGTTAATGTAGAGGATAACAAGATTTTTATGGTATCACACGTATCAAATGCTAGGTATCATGATACTGAAACTATACCTATAAATTGCCCAAGTGCCATTCACTTTACCTCTTACTTCTATTCTGCCAGGTGAGGCTACATTTAGCTGAGTGTATGCTTAGGTATTTTTTCACATTCGTATTAGAGTACCATAAGCCAGGCTAGGTTTGTCCTAGGGATATGTAAGCCTTGGTAAACTTCTGCACATGCCTGGATTTTGATGCTTATTCTGAGACTTTTCATCCAGCAAGTGTTCTGTTTTGCACATTCAGAGATATTTTGCAGAATCTCCTCGGGGGTCTGTCACATGTGGGTTAGCAGCTGTAAGCCTACAGATTTTATATAAATGAACTGATGCCTAAATAGTCACACCTGCTCCATCTGTGATCTATCCACATAAATCCACCAATTATCCACCTGGACCAGTGAATCTGTCAGTCCTTCTGTTGGAACATCTTATTTACAGACGTATTCTCTTCTTCCCTGTATCTGCCCTTTAAACATCCCCCCTTTACTGGG